GAGGGGCTGGTTGGAGAATAGGAGGGGCTGGTTGGAGAAAAGGAGGGGCTGGTTGGAGAATAGGAGGGGCTAGTTGGAGAATATGAAGGACTTGTATGACAGTAAGGTGGGCTGGTTGGAGAATATAAGGGACTGGTAGGAGTGCAGCTGGGACTTGTAGGGCTGTAGCTGGTTAGACTATAGCTTAGGCTTGGTGGGGAGTAATATGGTGAAGTTGGGCTGTAGTTGGGTGAAGCTGCCATGCTTGGGGAGGTAGGAGCATATGCAGGGCTTGATGGAAAATAACTGGGAGACCTAGCCCCACCAGGACTGGCCGGAATATAAGGACTCATTGAAGGACCTGGGGAGCCAGGTGAACCAGGAGTTGGGCTCCATGAATAAGCCGGTGAAAGGCCACTGGCATCACTAGATGCAGATGGAGAAAATGCAATTCCAGCTGGAGTCATACCACTGTCCATGTGGGGTGACCATACACTTCCATACATGGGAGTTCCAGCTTGATTCCATGGAGTCATTTGAGGACTGGATGGTGTGGCTGCAGATCCAAACAGCATTCCTCCTCCCATACCCATGCCAATATTCATGGGTATTTCAATACCATACTTGCATTTTTCCGCATCCGAGAGAAGATCAAAACACCCTGTAAATAAATGAAAAAGACAGAGAAGAATTAAACAAGGGACAAAGTAAACACAAAATTAATTTTGTGCAAAATAACGTACTCGTTCTTTACAGAGACCGTTTAGTGCCATCCACACCTTCTTGGTGGTAGAAAGAACGAGTATTGTTCTCAGTGCAGTCTAATCCCTAAACATGTGTTCCCACTTTCATCTCAGAACACAGAACACCTACTGACATGAACGTAATAATATTTATTCTAAACTGGAAATGCTGGTCTCAATTTCAACCGAGCTTAGTGGACACTGAAAAATGTAGAATAACAACATATAAATGCATGATTTTAGTGGTTTTGAAACGCAGAATTATTGCTAAGAATATTATATTACAGATTTATATTCACTTTCTTAACATATTTCAGAAAACATTTAATAAATTTTGTTCATGATTGTGTAAGTCCAGTCTGCCATCAGTCAGTTGTTTTTCAACCCAACAATCGATATGCGGTCTCTCTCAACAGTATCAATCAATCAATCAATCAATCGAGGACCCAAACACACGCCAATGTGTAAAAGCGGCCGAGTCCCTTGACTCAATCCCGAATTATTTACTTCCACAAGAAATGATAGGCCGCAGGTGTCGGCAACTGCCGGGTCAAACCTATAAGAGAAGCGGTTTAGTTTGGTTGGTCCTCCCCCCATGCCTTGCTTGCTACTGCATCAAGGTAGTACAGTAGGTAGTGTCAGTAGAGGTGCTGCGTTCCCATTGGCTGCACTCCGGTGACGTCAGCGATTTGCTTGCCGCTCCAAATTCAAATTGATAACATTTTGTTTTACATTGGTGACAAAAATAAGCCTGAAATATTAAGTTTCGACCTTTCAATATTGCGAAATATTAATTCTTTTGTTAAGATGGAAGATGAAATCCACGTGAAACCACCGAGCGTCGGTACATCATGGTCCGATCGTGCCGGGGCAATTTTTTTTTCTTGATCTACCAATTAAATGATGATTTTTGATGTAAAGGAAACCGTTCTCAAAATTTTTTTGACCGAGTTAGTTTTTAGTAAAATCAACATATTGCTTATTCAATAGTTGAGCACAAAATCCCCACCCCTTGCCCTAGGAAAAAATTCGACCTCACTGTCTGATAGAGCTCATCTTTCTGATTAAGAAAATGTATGGGTTGAGTATATTCACTCACATATTGACACCTCTGGAGCTATGCAAAATCTTAAAAAACACTCAAAATGTGGTTTTTCTCCATTTCCCAAAATACGTCGACATGGATTTTGGATTTTTTTGTTTTTCTGACAGCAGGGCAACTGCCTGAATTCAAAAATCCAAAGCCTGTATTTTGCCTATGACTGGTTCGCGTTTTTTTAATTACTTTAAAGCTATATTTTCACAAAAATTAGATAATCAACGAACCAAAAACCTGGAAATTTGCTCGTGTTTGGGTTGCAATCAACCAACGGTGTTCCAGTGTTGCAGGCAAGTACGTTTACACTTATTTAAGACTAGAACACATGTGTCTTAGGTCAATTACAGACAGGATTTCTGTGAAAAATGGAGTGTTAGCATAAGCCAACATTTAATGTATAGCTTTATTAGCCACGGACTTAGAATGAAAACCCGCAAAATTTGTTAAGAGTTCTCAAAATATTACTATAAAACTTGAAAAAAGGTTCATTATTGGTCACGCCTACAGCAATTCCAGTTTCGAATGGTATAATTGTCATGTGTGTACGTTTCCCGTGTTCCGAGGATGACTAGCGTCACGCGTGACATGGCACTGAGAACAATACTCGTTCTTCGTACCACTAAGCAGGTGCAGGTGGTGGTAAAGAACGAGTAAAAAGCGTGCAAGTGGAAAATAAAAAATAAAAGTAAATGCGAATGTAAGGAAAGCAAGGCTGACGACAGGCACGCGTTAAGGCATATTAGCAGGAAGAGAGGCACAGAAGGCACAGCACACACACACACACTAACTGTATTTGTAGGTTTTATTTGTACAAAGTTGTGCATACGTATTTTTCGCACAAATTTGTGCGTAGAAGTGCATGTTTTTATGCATGCGTATGCACAAATTCGTACGTTTTTGCGCACAAATTCGTGCAAATCGAAACGTATGCACAACTTTATGCAAATGTTTGCACCAAAAACTACAAATACATTTAGTGTGCAGGCAAGCACATCTAGCATGCGAGATCTGTCCGACCTTTTTTCCTCCCGGGCAAAGGGGCCACGGGGAGGCTTGCCACGACTGGTGTTGGCTAGCCCAACACCAGCCGCCCCTACCCTCTCTCTCAACCTCAACAGTATGCACTAATAATAAGCTGGGCAAAGGGACTTAGAATGAAAACCTGCAAAATTTGTTTAGAGTTCTCAAAATAATACTGTTAAACCTGAAAAAAGGTTCATGGTTGGAATTGACACCAGCATTTTTACTTTAGAATGGTATTAGTGTCATGTGTGTAGTGTACGTGTTCGAGATGAATCGGCGGTACGTGACACGGCACTGAGATCAATACTCGTTCTTCCTATCACAAAGTAGGTGTGGGGAACGAGTAAAAAATAATAACAACAAAGAAAGGACAAATAGGCAATGCAGCTGTGTTTTTCAGCTTACCTGTCCCCATACGTGGTAACTGGCCCAAGATAATATTTTCGGACACTCCTCTCATAGGATCTACTTCAGCATGAGAAGCAGCATCCATTAGCACATCAACAGTTTCTTCAAATGAGCACCTACACATAAGAAGGGTTACAAAAACAGGAAAAAAATAAAAGCTAGTGAAGAAAGAATTGATATCTAAACTACTATACATACCTCATGAGAGCTCCAGTGTCTTGTCTGTTGATTCCATGACGGGTAATAGCCATAAGATGACCTTTGGCTGTCATGACATCACAAAGCAAAGCCAAGTGTCTGTAGTTTACATAAAGACCATAGAAGGAAAGCACGGCATTCATTTCTTTCTCAACAGATTTTCTGACGGCTTCAATCCCCAGAACTAGGAAAATTTCACAGATGTCGTTGGAAAATGTTCTCACAGGATCAACATCCCTCTCACTTAAAACCTTCATCAGACTAGTACCATCAGTTTCAAGAAGCCATTCAGCAATTGCCTTGAATTCTCCAGTTTCTGTTATAAAAATTCTCTTTTTGGAATCTGTTTGAGGGAGATGCATGTACACTTTTCCAATTCCTTCAATGCCCTGAAGTGTCATATCAGATAGCATGTTGGCCTCAATACACCGTAAGAACATGTCATCTTCCATTTTATCAACTTGCTCCTCCTCATCTTGGAATTTGCTCTCATCACTGTTCATTATACAAATACGAAGTACAAGCTTTTCAGCGTTATCATCGTTGAAAATGCAGCTCAAATCTTCACCGAAACCAGCATTAATTTTTTCAGCAATCTGTTCCATAGTGAGCTTCTGATTAGTCATTCGCTTGCGGTCAAGTTCAATACGAAGAAGCCATGGTGATATTCTTGTGGGGTCAAAGTCTGGCATTTCATAGTACACATTCACAAATTCTTGATCTTCAGAAATTACCGTGTTTTGAGGATCTGGGTCGTAATAAATAGCAGTATTTGCTGTGACCTTTCGAAGGGTGGTATGTTCCAATCGACAAAGGACATTTTTGGCTTTCTCAGCATCCCTTGCTGCGACACCAGAGAGAAAAACGGTTAGAGATGGGGCTTTAGGCTTCTTACTGATGTTGATAATTTCCTTCAGCCTAGGCACACCAAGAGTTACGTTCTTTGATGACACACCAGCAAAGTGGAAAGTGTTCAATGTCATTTGGGTGGCAGGTTCACCCAGAGACTGAGCAGCCAATGCACCTACCATTTCACCTGGTGAACATTGCGCCTGCTGAAATCTTGTTTCAATTTCACCAATTAACCATTCAAAGGCTTCCGAAGATAACCTAAACTCTTCTGCCACACACTTTGTACAAAGTGTTGATCTGACCAGGCACTGGAACAATAGTGTGGCATTTTCATTAGCCATTTTGCTCAGCCTGTCTTCACCTGCCACAATTACACACTTCAGAAGAAGCTCTTGAACACCCCTAATTACTCGTATTGGACTTAGATCAGTGGGAGCTCTTTTGTTAATGTGGAAGATTTTCTGAACATTCCAAATCATTCTTTGAAGGTTACATGGAAGTACAACTTTGTTGGTACCACTTGGGAAGATTTGCCGAAGCGACTCACGGTCCTTACACAATTGTTCCCATTCCTTCTCCAGTTCAGACACAACTTCTCCAGATCCCATCAACTCTTTCATGACATCTTCATTGAAGATTCTTCTTAGAGTACACTCATTAGTGGGATCAAATTTGAACTTACGCTCAAATGCCTTGTTAGATAACTTAATGGTTGATAGATTTTGGAACTCTACAGATTCACCACAAAGGCCATCCTCTCCATAACGCAATTGAATAAGTTGACCAACAGAATTACGAACAGTCCCATCATAGTTCACCATGACAGACTCCATAGCTTTGATCAAACGACGTTGAATATAACCTGAAACATAAAAAAATAGATTAGATTTATTAAAGGGCATATGTGTGCAAAATATTATTTGGTAGATCTTTTAACACAATGAGAGAGGTAAGGATTAATGGGTACCTGTTTCAGCAGTTTTGACAGCAGTATCAATAAGACCTTCTCGACCTCCCATAGCGTGAAAGTAGAACTCTGATGGTGTCAAACCGGCAAGGTAGGAATTTTCTACGAATCCCCTTGATTCAGGACCATAATCGTCTTTGATGAAGTGAGGCAAAGTTCTCTTACGGAACCCAAACGGAATTCGTTTACCTTCTACGTTTTGCTGACCTACACAAGCAATAACCTGAAGCAGAAAATTAAATGATTGAAACAGTAATAACAGATTAGATTAGATTAGATTAGATTAAAGCATCCTACAGGGCCAGGCACCAGGCACCACTGCCTAATCCGATATTTTTTGCCGTCGGCACGGTACCCTGGACACTAACGGCTGAAAATGGAGAAGGGGATGCTCGACCCAGGGTTACGGCTTCCTCCAAACAGAGCGAAGACCAGCCCCCCGTTGAATGGGATGGGTCGGCACCGTTAGTGGGCAAAAGGGGGGAAGTGGGCTGTCCCCACGGCCCCCAGGGAGGGGGCGAAGGAGGCGGCAGCCCAGAGTAAACAGGCAAGTGCAAAGCAATATACGAAGGCACAGAGGGCTAAAAAAAGGCTGGTTAGGCAGGGCAGAAACGTAGGGTACAAGGGAGGGGTGGGGCGGCCTGTCACAGACAAGGCAAAAGTGCACCCCTCCCCTAGCAGTGCGCAACAGTCAGGCAAGGCTCAGGCGAGACGCGGGAGAAGAACGTAGAGGAGAGGAGGCAAAGACGACCGAGAGAGGCAGACGGGTGTGGAGGCAAAACGGCAGAGCGACGCTGGAGAGGCAAGACGGCAAAGAGCAGCCGAGTGCAGTGCAGAGGGGGAGAGGCAGGAGGACAAAAGGGAGAAAAGGGGTGGGGTAGAGAAGTAAGGTGGCAGGGAGCGAAGGGTAGAGAGGAGAGAAACCCGTACGAAAAAGTTTAGTCCGGCATCAGTCCGTTTTCGGTCCGCAAAGAGTCCGGCTGGACAGTCCGTCATCAGTCCGCAAAAGCGAGAGGACTAGTCCGCGAAAAAAGCCAGATCGACCAAAAACCGACCTATTTGCCGGACTAGTCCGGCTGGAACTAGTCCGCTTTTGGTGCGCATCCCCGCCTCACCAGACTGATCGCGGACTGGTCCGCACGTAGAGCAGACTGAAAGCGGACTACCTGAAGCACAGCTGACCACTACCGTGCCAAAATTGATTGGGAAAAGTGCAAAGTTTAATGTTTATTATCGCTAAATAAAGTAAAATATCAGGTCAAGGTAAATTGAACAGTGGTCTTCGAGTCTTAGAAACGAGGCGAAGCCAAATCCGCTGTCTGTTTTGACCTAGCTCAAGCCGTTTACGAGTTAGCTGAAAAATTTGCTTCGATTTCAATGAAATTAAAATGGCCCTACTAAAATAGGGTGTAGATGTCCCAAATAAAATTTGAGGTCAAAATTCCTGTAACTTCCAAAGTTACAGCATGGCAAACTTGTATCGGGATTCGCTCCGGACAATTCTTTCTTTTTAACAGTGCTGTGCTCTGCTCCCGGGCGGACTGAAAACGACCTGGTCCGCTGCGGTAGGTACTCAGGACGGACTGGTCCGCCAGTAGTCCGCCGTTGGAGGACTGATAGCGACCTAGTCCGTCATGGGGCGGACTGAAAGCGACCTAGTCCGGTGAGGGCGGACTCTCTGCGTACTGGTCCGGCATCGCACTTGGCCGCTGCGACCTCAAAGCGGACTAGTCTGCACGCCCGGGGGTACTAAAAGCGGACTAGTCCGGTGCACGACGGATCAAACGCGGACCAGTCCACAGGGGTGCGGACTCTTTCCGGACCGAAAACGGACTGATGCCGGACTAAACTTTTTCGTACGGGAAGCAGAGAGGGGCGAAGGGGTGGAGAAGCGGGGCGAAAGTGAGAGGCAAAGGGGAGCAGAGGCAGGGCGCCCGGAGAGTGGGAAAGGAGAGGAGAGGCAATGCAGGGGGGAAGGCCCATGGGGGGGGGGGGCAGAGAGGGCCGAAGGGGTGAAGAGGCAGGATGCCAGAGAGAGGCGAAGGTGTAAAAGAGTAAGGTGCCAGAGAGAGGGGAAGGAGAAGAATAGGCAAAGCGTAAAAGAAAGGAGAATGGGGGAAGAGGCAACTAGGCGGCGAGAGAGGCTGAGGAGCAGGTAGGCAAGGGGGAAAGGGGCCAGGGGAAGGGGTAGCGCAAGGAAGGGGAGGAAGGCAAGGAGGCGGAGAGGGGTGTAGGGGAGAATAGACAACTCGGGAGAGAAGGGACAAGGGGTGAGGAGGCAAAAGGGCAGAGAAGGGAAGGGGGAGCGTGGCAAGAAGGCAAAGAAGGCGAGCAGGCGGAGAGGAGAGGTGAGAATGCAGAGAGGGCCGAAGGGGTGGAGACACAGGGCACAAGAGTGACACAGGGCACAAGAGAGACACGCAGGTGAAAGAGAGGAAGGCGGGGGGCGAGACTAGGTGGAGCAAACAATCGAGCCAAAGAAACACACGCAAGTCAGACAGAGGTAGCAAGAGGCCCGAGCCAGCAGAGGGTGGTCAGAAAGAACACGTAGGGTAGGCTGCCGGCGGTGCGCCGAACAGGGTGGGGCAGGCCGACGGCCAGAGCATAGGCATAGGTGCCCAGCAGCAGCCGGCGCGGAACCCAGGTGCAGCCGTCCCCTGGCATCGGGAGGCGTCCACAAGGGTGGCCGAAGGCAGCGGGCGGGTGTGACAGAAGGCCCCTGCGGTGGGCAGGCGGTGCAGTGGGCCGCGGGTTACCCGCGAGCTGCGCCCGGGCGGTTGCGGGTGGGCAACGTCGGCCACGCAGTTGGTCGAGGGCGGCAGGCGGTGGCGACGGCAGGCCGCAGGCGGGCACCCCCCGGTCAGCAGGAACGGGACCCGGGTAAAATAGCCCCGTCCGGAAGCCCTTCCAAGGCGTTCGAGATCCCGGGGGGCGCTGCACTGCGCCGTCGGTGCCGTTAGTGGAGTGGTGTCCGGTGGTGCTGGGCCTTCCACGGACCCGGCCCGTGCTGCTCAGGCCCGCCCTCCCCGGCACCCCCAGTAGGGTGCCCGGTCCGGTCCCAGGGTCGCGTCGCGTCGCGGCGCACCGGCAAACCCGGGGCTCTGCTGCGCGGACTATCCAAGCGACGGTAAAGATGGGGACGGAGCTTGCCAAACCTGAGCTATAAGTGCGCAGCCAGGAACCTGAAACGGACCCGCGGGAAGCTGGGAGGAAACGATTAGGTATGAAAGTGAGTGCAGAGGAGCCAGGCGAAGAAAGCAAAGCAGAAGTAAGCTGGATGGGCATGCCTAACGGACCATCCTTGGCCTACGCGTTTGGAGTCTTGCAGAAGCGGGAACAGTGCACTGCCATGCATTAATTACTCTGGTCAGCCCCTGCCCACCCCCCCCAGGGAGAATCGCGAGGAGACATGCCTCCACGAGCCCACTGGCTAGCCCAGTGAGGCCCGCTCTCCCCTAAATGATTAAAACAGTAATAACACTACATAAAATTACAACCTGATGAATGTAAGACGCCTAACCTGGGAAATATTGATGTTGGATCCTTTTGAACCTGATACCACCATAGCTTTCAAATTGTTGTATTCAGTCAAAGACTTCTTCGCTGATCCACCAGTTTTATCACGAGCATCATTGAGAATACGATTGACCTGACAGTTAAGAGGAAGAATATGCATATTTAAAACTTTGATATGTATGAGAGATTTCAAATTTGACAGAAATAGCAATCAATATGTAAAACCATTAGATTTTCAATATGATGTACCTGATTTTCAAAGGTCTGCCTGAGTGTGTTACCGGGTGTTGGCTCCAATTCCATATTGTGAGCCTTCTGAATAACTTCTATGACATCAGCTTTAGCTTTCTTAATAGCATTCTGAATCACAGAGTATGTTTGCCGATCGGCAATTGTGTCACCAATACCAATGGAGTGGCCTAAAGTTGATTAAAAGAGGACAAAGTGTAATGAAAATGAACAAATCCAATTCCAGTAGTAAAAGACAAAAAATACCATACCTTCCAAGAGAAGCCAATTATTGACTACTGTCTGAATATTACCATAAAATTGGCCACAAACTTCATGTCCCAATTCCAAGAAAATGACGTGAAGAAGAGATCCTGCAGAAGTACCCAATGTCTTCTTGCAAAGAATACCCTTTATAAGTTCCCCATGCTCTACCATTACCTACACAAAGAAACCCATTAATTACAATCATTTATTGAACTACATATTTAGAATCAAATTCAAGTAAACAAACCGTTGTACCTTAGTATCACCAGGTGAAATCCATTTATATGGACCATCATCCTCTTCATCAGGATGAGTAGAGTGTGTTCTGATCAAGTTCACATTTCCGGGAATAATGAGGGAAAACAATTGCTTACCTAAATGAAGAAAAGATACAACAAAAACAACAAAAAAAGGGCAAATTTTAGCATCATGGGTACAAACAGAACATTTAAAAATAGTAACTGCTTTAACATACCTGTCCAGAGGGGCTTAGGTTTTAAAATACAAGGTTGTGGCATTTTACCATCCCAAATGGGCAGAAACATCAACAAGGTCATCATTTGTTCCTGCACAGCAACAAAACAAAACAAAACAAAAAATAGTGAGGAGGAAAAGGTATAGAGATGATGGATGCTGGATTTAAGAAATCATCCACATTACCTTTTCAAGAAACACATCTCTTTTGGTCATTTTACGGACAGCTGTTAATGTATCCTGTACAATACCCATGACAGGCTGATTTGCCTGGGGAGTGATGATCTGACGGGGAGTGACATGGATATTCTCTACTTCAGCACGGGTCTCCATGGACTGGGGTACATGTAAATTCATTTCATCACCATCGAAGTCAGCATTGTAGGGGGAAGTGCAGCTGAAATTGCACCGTAAAAAATTCCATAAATAACAAATATAAGTAATACTAAATTTGGGAAACTACATAAGATGCATGACCAGCCTGCCTCATAAATTATACCTGAGATTCATTCGGAAGGTTGACCATGGCAAAACTTTGACTCTATGGCCCATCATTGACATTTTGTGTAAGGTAGGCTGTCTGTTGAATATAACCAAATCACCATCTCTAATATGGCGTTCTACTTTGTAGCCACATTGTAAGTGGAGATCTGATGTTTTAGGATGAAATCGTAAGTCAATACGTTCTCCATTGTCTCTGACAATATATTTGGCTCCAGGGTACTGTGAGTTTCCTCTCCTAACCAGTTCTTGCATTCTGTAGATAAAAATAATTTGAAGTCATGCATAAATTAGTTGTGAAACGACATAATTATTATAAAATGAACTAGAAGATCTCCTAAGGCCATACTTGTCTATGTTAAAAGGTGTAACAATTTCAGGAAATGTGAGGTTTTGAGCAATTGATCGAGGAACACCAACTTGATCTATTCTTAAGTTTGGGTCAGGGGTAATGACGGTTCGAGCAGAAAAATCCACTCTTTTGCCCATAAGATTACCACGAATTCTTCCTTCCTTTCCTTTCAGTCTAGCTTTGATTGCTTTAAGTGGTTTCCCACTTTTCTGCATTGCTCTGTTAAAAAAGGAGAAAGTGTAGCAATAAGTATTTTACTCTACAGTGTTTCCATCAAAAGTTACAAGATAGGATTATTTAAGATTAGATTACATTAGTGCATAAATATATACCTTGGTAAGCCTGGCATGTCATTGTCAACCAATGTTGCTACATGGAACTGAAGCATCTTAATATTTTCGGCAAGAACATGTGTAGCAGCTCCAGCCTGTTCATTACGAAGTAACTCATTGTTCGCCTTTAAAATGTCGGATAGTTTGTGTGTTAAATCATCCTGAAAGAAGAAAGAGAAAGTGAAAAGAAGGGCAATAGCAATAAATATATTTGTTTAATAAGAACAGTAAACAACATCAAAAAGTTAAAAACATTATTCTGATCAGATTTCAAACTCAATTCATAACAGACCTGATTTCTAGCTGATCCATACATGACAACAGCTGGCCTAACACACAGTGGTGGAACTGGTAGACATGTCACTATCATCCAATCAGGCCTTGCAAACTTGGGATCCATTCCAAGGATAAAACATTCCTCATCTATAGAAAAATTATTCCTCAATAGTACTAGAATACAACTAGACATAAATTTAAAAGACAAATGTTTTGAAAATTCACCTGTAATGTGCTTTAAGATTTCACAAACTCTCTCAGCTGTCAAAGCAATTTTTTTCTCTTGGGAGTCTTCATTTATGTGTTTCCACTCTGCACTTACATCTAAGCCAACTCTTCGTAAATTGGGCTGATAACGACCGCATCCACCATGACCTTGTTTTCTTTGCTGAAATACACAAACAGGTTTGATTATAACAAACTACTGATTATTAAGATCATTCATTATATTACAAGGAATACTTACCTGTTCTTTACCAGGATCATCGGGATTATGTTTGTTCGTATCCATCTCATCACCGCCCTCACAAATGTGTTTGCCTTTACACAAGTCATACACAAAGGTCAAACGTTTTCTTGGCTGACCTTTAGATTTCATTACTATTTCTTTAATTTTGGGATTGTTCTGATAAATAAGATAATTTTTAAATGAGAAAAAGCAAAACATTTTGTTACAATGTGTAATAGAAGAAACAATACTTACAGGACTAACTAAGAGCTTTGAACAGTAGAAACAAACACATCTCAATATTTTTATTGTTTTGCTAATAAACCCTACATGAAAGACTGGTTTTGCCAAGTCAATATGCCCAAAGTGACCAGGACATTCTGTCATGTTTCCTGAAAAAACAAATGTATGGTCCAAAATATTAAGAGAAAAAACAAACAAAATAAAATAGTGATTCATTCATTCACAGTAGGGTTTAGTGTCACATGATATCATCTACAGAAAAAGTCAGAAAAAAAGATTTCAAAATCCAGAATTTTGTAAAAGAACATTATAAAATAACTGCTAACCTGCACAAGTTTGGCATCGGGAAGATCGATCAATGACACCTTGCCTTGGATCCATGAGACCACCCAACTTTGGTCTACCACCTTCCATAGTTTCGGCATATTTAATCCCTCCCTCAGTGACCGACATACGTCGCTGAAAAGACAGAGAATTAAGAAATGTCAATCTGGTATAAAAAATTAGATAGTTGTGCAATAACTATTCCTGTCAACTAAAAGTAACTAAATTATCAATCATCAATAAGAAAATAACATTGTTGAAATTAATAACTTGCACAATAGCAAGAGTAATTTAAAGCCATTCAAAATATAACTGAGGCCATAGGGTATAAACAAGATAGGTTAGGAACGTAAAGTTGGCTGTAATTTGCATGAATCTTTAAGTTCGAAAGGTTTTAAAAGTAGAAAATACATAAACTCCTGCGAAAAGATAGCTATAGGTGGGATTAGGGGCTGACAACGATCATAATAAAAACATACGACAGCCATTCAAAGTACTCAAGGCTGGTAGGCCACGGCGACTTCGGCCATCAAGCATTTATGGCTAAAAAATTCAAAACTTTCGCTTTCTAATATTCCCAAGTAAAGTTGGACTTGACCGTAATAGAAAATTGATGTACTTACGATCTCATCGGGGGAGAGAATACCGAATTGGACTCTTTTAACATGGCGTATCGGCGCTTTAGAATCGTTCGTCGCCATTTTCAGCGACTGACTGACTACTGACTGCAGGGCCTGTCCACTTCGGGGTTTTCAGAAAGTGGAGGGGGAAGAGAGAGAGAGAGAGAACTTCTTAGTTTTTTGGCCTCTTCCGGAAGTCAGCCAGGAGTAACAAACATAGCGGCAAGCAGCCGAGAGCCGGCGTGTTGTGGAGAGTGGCCATAACCTATCGTGTTCTCTGAATTATCACCCGATTTTAGACTGTTGTGCTGCTTTCTGAGTCACAGTGAGAGGGTGCGGTGTTTTCCCTTGTCCCTGTACTTGCTCCTGGGAAGATTTGTTTCACCTGTCGTAGAAGTGTTCACTCTTCTCGTTCTGGTCACCTGCCAGACAACCACATTGTAAAAAGTGAAGATCTGGTACACAGCAACGGAGCAGGTACATTGTTTTGGATACTTAATTCCTTAATTCTGTGTAGTTTTGCTATTCAAACAAGTTTTGATATGTTGTGACTGTTCGAGTTTCTAACCCAGTGAATCGTCATTATGTACTCTAAAATTCCAGTCATGCGTAACTCATAGGATTGTGGTTTTGTAAAGCTATGTTGATTTCGGTAACATATTTAATCAAAGAGTGCAAATTCTTCTCCTTTATTTCAGTGATGGAACTACAGTGTGACATATGTTTTAACCTATTTAACCTGGATCACCACCGTCCAAAGAGCTTGCCCTGTGGACACACCATCTGTCAAGAGTGCGTGCAGAATCCTGGCTTGGGAGGAAAGTGTCCAACTTGTAGGAAGGTGAGTAAATAAATTGTAAAGCTGCTGGAATCTCACTGCTTCTTTAGACAATTGGACCTGTTCTTTACTTTTGTATGCATGCATGGTTCCATGTAATATGTTTTTATCTTCTTTGCTAAATGCGAAGAAGAAGTTGAAACATTATTGTTATGGAGAAGTCTCCTTTTAAAGAACTTTGTTCCAATGAACATGTAATTTTTTGAATCTTTGGTACGGTAATCAATCCACAATGAGCAAAATATTACTTACCAGTCAGTTTTAAACTTAACTTTAATCAGAAGGAACGCACTGTTTGATAGTGACACAATATTGAACATTTAAACTCACAATAAATGATCTCAATATAAACGAACAAACACCACTCTCATTTTACTACATAGTTTGAATGAAAGAGAAATTTCTGAATGAAAACTTTTCAGACATACTGTATGTTTACAGGACCTGAACGCCGACCCTGCTGACCTCCCCGACAACATTGCACTGATCGGCCTGATAAAAAACGACGGCGCGCCTCCCCGCAAGAAGCCCAGGACAGAAGAGACAGAGGTCCAGCAGCTGCGGCGGGGCGTGGAGGCAGGGCGGAAGGTGGTGGAGGTGCTGCGGCTGATGGTGCCCAAGGCCGTGGAGGCCCTCAACCGCCAGCTAGACTCGTCGGTCGCCCAGCTCCGCCAGGTGGAGGAGGCCCTGGAGAGGCAGGTGCAGCGGGGGGCGGCGGGCGGCGAGGGCAGCGCCCCGGTGGCGCAGCAGCTGGGCGCAGCAGCTGCAGCTGGCGGTGCAGCTGGAGGACAGCCTTCGCCTGCTCACGGCCAAGAAGTGCAGCGTGGTGGCGGAGGAGGAGGACGGCGCCACCTGGAGGGCCTGCGCGCAGCTCGGAGGGTTTGGCGACATCCTGCGGCTTCTGCTGCTGCAGCTGCGGGCGGACGGCCAGCTGGAGAAGGTAGGCCACTATGCAGACGGACTAGCTGCTTATCGCTCTGGTATGTTACTTACATCCGGTTTCTTCTCGCCAGGTCGACGTTGTTGGTTTTCCCGACACCCCTGGAGTTTACGTGGGATCCCCAATCATCTCTGTTCTTTCGATGACTGAAAAAGACTTTAAGGATGGCCGTTTGAAGGTTAATAACATTCTTCTAGACAGAGAACGATGGAGGAAGACACGCAGCCTAAAAATCTCACACGGCGCTGGTTCGGAGGGGCTGCTGCGCGTTGTGGGACCACAACTGGAAGAGCTGCAGATCTTGGAGCGGGTACATCCGAGCGTGATGGTGGAAGTAGAGAAACTGAAGTGTCTCAAAAGACTACAAGTAAGTTGCGTTAAAGCCTTGGACTACCCGGACCTTCCCTTGCAGCTCGAGGAGCTCTCGATACTGTGCCCAGGAGAAAATCAGTTGCGATGTGTGGAGCGGATGCCCCGTTTGCGCAGCCTGCAGGTAGACGATTACTTTGGCCCGCACGTTACCTTCGCTCCCTCGCAGCATGAGGCACTGCGGTGGCTATGCGTGTGCTTCAACACAAACCACAAGAGCACCATGATGTCGCTGATCTGCGCCTACGCCTCATCAGTGCAGGAGCTCCAGATATACTGCAGCGTCAGTGAGGTTAATCTGCATAAATTATTCTACTTCCCCGACCTGGGCGAGGAGCTGGCGGCGTGTGGCCTGCTCGCACTGCGACGCCTCGTCCTCGAACGTGCACCAGACGAACCTTGCGCGGAGCAGGTCGCGGACTGCATGATGCAGTGTCGGACCATCGGGAGCTACTTGCCTCCTCACGTCCAAGTGGTCTGCGAAACGTGTCACATGTCTGTGCTCTAGGAGTGATGCCTCAAGAAGACGCTGGTTCTTCAAACTCGTGACCCGTGTGCTCACAGTCGAACAATCGTGTCCGCTTACAGTCCCCGGTTTATTGATTTGCCTGCACAAACCCCATGTGTCCTCTGTGAGGGTTGTTAGAAACGCTTTTTGTAAATGTAGTTGGTTTCACGTTGTAGAAATAAAAACAGTGACACTTTTCGGGTGCACATTACCTTTGAACGCCGACTCCCTCGCGACAGGTGCGCGAATGCACGCTCCGCCTGCGAGGGGCCCCCTAACTAAGCGCCACGTGCAGCAACGCCCCGCCCTCTCGTCGGCTCTTCGCTCCCACACGAGGAGACGAGGTCTGTAAATTCGTACAGCCGTGCCGGAGCGGAGGGCACCCAACAGCACAGCAGCAACAACACCGCGGGCGCGGTGGTGCCCACCCGCGCCCCCGCCCGCCCCGTGCCCTCCTAATCGTGCAATTCACACGCGCTGAAATATTCACTGCAACCTGAGGAGGCGCGCGCGCCCATGTCTTATTCATGGCGAATTGAATGCGTCTCAA